CGCAGGCGCCCGGAAGAGCGGTGCAGTGTGGGAGACGCGAACATGGCGGCGGCGGCCGGCGGGTAGCCGAGGAGCGGGAACCGACATGGCTGCGCCGGACCACAAGTCGCCCAACGTGCTGCTGCAGAACCTGTGCTGCCGGATCCTGGGCCGCGGCGAGGGTGCGCCGGGTCCCGTGGGGCGCGGGCAGCGGGGGCGCCCGGGGTGCGCAGGGAGCGGCCGGGGACCCCGGGCTGGTGTGCGCGGGGCGCGGGGTCTGTCCGGCTCTCCCTGGCGCGCGGGGTCTGTCCGGCTCTCCCGGGCGTGCGCGGGGCGCGGGGTCTGTCCGGCTCTCCCTGGCGCGCGGGGTCTGTCCGGCTCTCCCTGCATGTGCGGGGTCTGTCCCCTTCTCCCTGCATGTGCTGGGTCTGTCCGGCTCTCCCGGGCGTGCGGGGTCTGTCCCCTTCTCCCTGCATGTGCGGGTTCTGTCCACCTTTCCCTGCATGTGCGGGGTCTGTCCACCTCTCCCTGCATGTGCGGGTTCTGTCCACCTTTCCCTGCATGTGCGGGGTCTGTCCACCTTTCCCTGCATGTGCGGGGTCTGTCCACCTCTCCCTGCATGTGCGGGGTCTGTCCACTTCTCCCTGCATGTGCGGGTTCTGTCCACCTTTCCCTGCATGTGCCGGGTCTGTCCACCTCTCCCTGCATGTGCGGGGTCTGTCCCCTACTCCCTGCATGTGCGGGGTCTGTCCGCCTCTCCCTGGCGCGCGGGGTCTGTCCATGTCTCCCTGCATGTGCTGGGTCTGTCCGCCTCTCCCTGGCGCGCGGGGTCTGTCCACGTCTCCCTGCATGTGCTGGGTCTGTCCGCCTCTCCCTGGCGCGCGGGGTCTGTCCTCTCCCTGCATGTGCGGGGTCTGTCCGCCTCTCCCTGCATGTACGGGGTCTGTCCGCCTCTCCCTTGCGCGCGGGGGGTCTGTCCACGTCTCCCTGCATGTGCGGGGTCTGTCCGCCTCTGCCGGGTGTGGTGTGTCCGCCTCTCCCTGCACGCGCCGAGTCTGTCCGCCTCTCCCTGCACGTGCGGGTTCTGTCCTCCTCTCCCTGCATGTGCGGGTGCTCCTGGTGCTGCGGGGCTCCTGGGCTGGGTCTGCACACAGCTGGCGAGCGCTCTCGGGCCGGCCGAGCGCTCCTTGCGCTCCCTGCGCTCCCGTGGGCAGAGGGTCCCGGGCGCTGGCCCGTGGTCAGCAGCGTTGCCCACCCGAGGTCCAGCGTGCAAATGGCTGGAGCACTGGGCCGTCTTCCACTTCTTTCCTAGGCCACAGCTGGGAGCTGGGTGGGGAGTGGAGCTGCCGGGATTCAAACCGATGCCCACCTGGGATGTTGGCACTGCAGGTGGGAGCTTAACCACGCTTGTCGTGTTTGTTTATTCTAGTTTGATGGGCGAAGGAACTGCAGTAACTGGTCTCCTTATCACATTTGGCATTGGGGTGTTCATTAGTGGGTTTTAGCTGGTAATTTCCTGGTAGTTGGTTCATTATTTGCTCATTTGCTAGTGATGGCTTCATGTGTCATGTCCCTGATTGAACAGTGTAATAATGGAAGAGGGCTGAGGTCTGAAAGTATTCTAATGTTACACAGTATGGGAATTTGTTTCAGAGCTGATGGAGTGGGGGTCCCTCCACCCCCAGTCAGGCCCTGGGTCCTGTGAGGGGTCCTGTGTTCGCCCGTACTCCACTCCACTGCCTGTGGGTTATTTCTGCGGTGGGAAGCAGTGTGTTAGTGTGTGAGTGTGGATGTGTGAGTGTGTCTGGGTGTGCCTCACTCCTGCCCGCCCGGGCCTGGTCCTGCAGTATATGCTTCCTGCTGCTTGCCTGTAGCCCAGGAAGAGGGGGAGGTTTGTATTCCCCTGCAGAAGGAGCACTTGGGGTGCTCAGTCTGCCCCCCGCAGGGAGACAGAACTTGGGGTGCCCAGCCTGAGAGAGAGTGTGTGAATGCGCCTGGGGCCCCGGCCTGCCCCCTGCTTGGTGTGGTAGGGGTCTGTTGGAGCAGGGCTTCCGTGGGGAGCAGTGGCTGGGGCTGTGTGCAGGACCTCCACTCTTGGGGCGGCTGTGTTCTCTGGCTGGCCAGTCCGCTTGTTCCTTGGCCTTTTTGCACGGCCGGCTGCTCTGCCTCCTACGGGGCTCTGCTGACTTCCCCTCGCTTGCCAGGGCAGGGTCAGCGTGGGTGTGGGTTGAGGGCCTGGGGTGTTTCCTGCACACGTGTGTGCCAGTTTTCCTGCAGCCCCACTTTGTGGGCACCTGTGTCCTGAGGGGTGTGGGGCATCCCTCCCGTCTCTACTGTGGGAGCTGCGTTGGGGTCCTCCCCATCACCATTTGTAACCCAGAGTATGTTCCCCCGGACCAGTCCCACGGTCAGCACGCGGGCTTTGCCTGCTGGTGGAGTGCATGTCTGCCTTGTTCTCTTTGGTCCTGGTAGGCTATCCTTTCCTTCCTTCCTTTTTTTTTTTTAAGATTTTTTTATTGGAAGGGCAGATATACAGAGAGGAGGAGAGACAGAGAGGAAGATCTTCCGCTTGATGATCGACTCCCTAAGCAGCCACAACGGCCAGAGCTGAGCTGGTTCGAAACCAGGAGTCTCTTTGGGGTCTCCCACATGGGTGCAGGGTCCCAAGGTTTTGGGCCGTCCTTGGCTGCTTTCTCAGGCCACAAGCAGGGAGCTGGATGGGAAGTGGGGCTGCTGGGATTAGAACCCGTGGCCATATAGGATCCCGGTGCATGCAAGGCGAGGACTTTAGCTGCTAGGCCACCGCGCTGGGCCCTGTCCCTTACTTTCTTTTCAGAGCTGTATTCTCAGTGTAATCGTGTGAAGGAAGGGAACAAAGCTGTGCTCTATGTCAAGGTGCACCTGGAGGTGTCCTTGGCTGCTCGCTCTGTCCTGGGGGCTCTGGGCTCTGCTCTCCTCGTCCTGGACAGGTACCATGGGCCTGTTCTCCACTTCCTGTCAGGATGCCCCCTGGGAGCTCTGCCCTCCTTGTCCTGTCGGCTGGCGCTGAGCAGGCTCCCTCTTTTCCGATCGTCAGTCGCATTTTTTCCTTTAAGGATCCCTCTGCTGACCCCTCCCTGTCCCTCTGAGGCAAGGCTTCCTTCATTCATTTATTCATATGTTTTGACTCGGCATCTTTTTAGTTCTTCATCAGACCTTGGGAAGGTGGATTGGCACCCGGTCTGCCCTCTTGTGCTGGGAGCAGCAGGTGCTCAGTGTGGCTGCAGGTGCTGACCCGTGCGTCTCTGTTCCCTTTCCAGCCGACGTCGCCCAACAGTTCCAGTTTGCTGTGCGGGTTATTGGCAGCAACTTTGCCCCAACTGTTGAGAGAGATGAGTTTCTTGTGGCTGAGAAGATCAAGAAAGAGCGTACGTATTCACAGCCCTGTCGTGGGTCCCGCGTGCATGAGGAGTGTGGGCTCAGTTATTGGAAAGGTAGACTGGGAAAAGTTTCCTGGAATGCGGAGCTCTCGGCCCAGTGGACTGATACCTCGTTCTGGGGTCCTGTGTGTGCTTCTTGGGGAGGACTCAGTTCTCTCTGGGAGTTGGAAAGGCTGGGCCTGCCTGGCCAGGAGGTGTGTCCCCCATGCTGTTGGACAGCGCTGGTCTCAGGAAGGCCTCACTCGCATCTGGTGGTGTTGTCTTTGTGACACCTGCCGTCTGAGCAGATGGCACAGAACACCCCGTTGGCTGCCACCATCACTGACACATGCAGTGGGGCGGGAACCCCTCGTTTCTGAGCCCTAGGTTTACAGGAGGATTGTCCTGAGGTGTCTTGAGGGGACTGGCTCTGAGAACAGGCAGCTGTGTCCTGGCTGTGGGCCCTTCCTCTCGGAGCTCCTGGCCGTGCCCCGGGTGCTGTGCTGTGGAGCTGCAGGCACGTGTGCCTGTGAGGGCCTCCTGGCACTGCCCCGGGTGCTGTGCTGTGGAGCTGCGGGCACGTGTGCCTGTGAGGGCCTCCTGGCACTGCCCCGGGTGCTGTGCTGTGGATGGTGGACACGTGTGCCTGTGAGGGCCTCCTGGCACTGCCCCGGGTGCTGTGCTGTGGAGCTGCGGGCACGTGTGCCTGTGAGGGCCTCCTGGCACCGCCCCGGGTGCTGTGCTGTGGATGGTGGGCACGTGTGCCTGTGAGGGCCTCCTGGCACTGTCCCGGGTGCTGTGCTGTGGATGGTGGGCACGTGTGCCTGTGAGGGCCTCCTGGCACCGCCCCGGGTGCTGTGCTGTGGATGGTGGGCACGTGTGCCTGTGAGGGCCTCCTGGCACTGCCCCGGGTGCTGTGCTGTGGATGGTGGACACGTGTGCCTGTGAGGGCCTCCTGGCACTGCCCCGGGTGCTGTGCTGTGGAGCTGCGGGCACGTGTGCCTGTGAGGGCCTCCTGGCACCGCCCCGGGTGCTGTGCTGTGGATGGTGGGCACGTGTGCCTGTGAGGGCCTCCTGGCACTGCCCCGGGTGCTGTGCTGTGGATGGTGGGCACGTGTGCCTGTGAGGGCCTCCTGGCACTGTCCCGGGTGCTGTGCTTGGTCTTGTTTCTTGGTGTCCTAGTGAATTGCAGTGACCCATTCTAAAGACCTTTTGGTGGTCTTCCACCCTAGCCGCTGCTGTGCGCTTGGCCGTCTGCTGAGAGCTTTCACCGTGCAGGAGGCGCGTCCCGGTGCTGGGGCTGTGGGTGAGGGGCGGCCATGGTGGCCTGACCTGTTGACAGTGTGCTGAGCAGCAGTGAGTCTGAGACACCCATCTGAAGAGAGGTGTTGCTAGTGTGTGTGTATGATGATCTCCCAGCCATTTTCCTGGCTGCTCCCCAGATGGCCAAGGCTGGACCAGGCTGACCAGGCTGGACCCAGAAACTTCACCCTCGTCACTCGTGTGAGTGGCAAGGATGCAGCCCTTTCCCCCTGCGCTTTAACAGGTGTCTTGGCAGAGCTGAGGATGGAGAGGCTGGGATGCTGGTGTTTTAACACATACTGCCCGAGACGCTGGGCCCCAGTGCTCGCTTCGGCAGCACATGTACTAAAATTAGAATGATACAGAGAAGATTAGCAAGCCACTAGGCCGTGATGGTTGTATTTTTTGAAATGTATTTATATAGTATTTAAAAATAGTAAATTTCATTAGATTTTAATTGCGTTTCTCGTATGAACTTTATATGATACATTTAAAAATTTTTATTTGCAGAGACAGAGAGAGAGTCTTCCACCTGCCGGTTCACTCCCCAAATGACTGTAACCCCAGGGCAAACCAGGCGAAGCCAGGAGCCTAGAACTCGAGCTGGGCCTCCTGCGTGGTGGTGTCGGGGAGGGTCCCACGCTTTCCCAGGTTTCCTGTGTTGCAGGTGCCAGCTTAGCGTGCTGTGCCACAACACTGGCCCCAATGATATGTTTGAAAGACAGCGTTGCCCTTCTACATAGGAAGAGCTCTAAGTGTAGTTGGGGTTGGGGCACAGGTCTGGCTTGTCCTTCCGACAGCTGGCATGTCAGTCCAGGCTCTAGTCCCAGGTGACCCTGAAGGGTGTCAACTCTCACTGCAAGGAATAGTATGTTTAAGTGCAGCTGATTGGCCAGCATGATTTAAATCAATTCAGACCACCCGGAAAGGGCAGCAGGAGGAGTCCTGGTTAGCTTTTTTCCTTAAGGCTGGTTTACTTGAAGAGTTATTGGAAAGGCAGGAGAGGAGAGTCAGTGAGATTTTCTGTGTGCTGGTTCCCTCTCTACATGGACACAGCAGTCAGAGCTGCCCGGGCCAGTCTGACGCCAGGAGCTTCCTCCAGGTCTCCATGTGGACTTGGTCCATCTTCTGCTGCTTTCCCTGTCAGCAGGGAGCTGAGTTGTAAGTGGAGCAGCTGGGACAGGAGCTAGTGCCCCTTTGGGATGCTGGCACCTCGTGGAGGCTGAGCCTGCTATACCGCAGTACTGGCCCAGAACTGACTTATGTGAAGGGCAGAGTGAGTGGGTGAAAGGCTGTGATGGCGAGATGGAGCTCTTACACCTGCGGCTTCAGCCCCCAGATGACCACCACAGCTGGGGTCCTGGAACTTGAACCAGGTCTCCCACTGGTACTTGGGCTGTCTTCCACTTTCCCAGCATGTTAGCCAGGAGCTGGGTTAGCAACAGAGCGGCTGGGCTCCAAGCTGACACCCTGCCACCATGCCTGTGTTGTAGCTGGTGGCAGCTCGGGCCTGTGCGTTCACGTTTAAAGAGGTGCCTTTTCCAGGAAGGTGGCTGTCTGAGAGTCAGCCATGCTCAAGTGGTGTGTGTGGAAAGGCGGCGGTTGTCTCTTCCTTCGGGGCACCCCGATGGGATTGGCATTCTCCTGTCTAGAGTGGGATCTGCATGGACTTCCCTTTCACTGTAGTAGCTCATTTATACAGAGAGCTTGCATCTGCTGGTTCACTCGCCAGATGCCTGCAGTAGCCAGGGCCGGGCCAGGCCGAGGCCCAGAGCCGGGATGCTGAGGCAGGGCCCGGCTGAGAGCCGGGGTGCCAGGGCCGGGCCGGGCCGGGCTGAGGCCCAGAGCCCTGCCGAGGCCCAGAGCCGGGGTGCCAGGGCCGGGCTGGGCCGAGGCCCAGAGCCGGGATGCTGAGGCAGGGCCGGGCCGAGGCCCAGAGCCAGGGTGCCAGGGCAGGGCCGGGCCGGGCTGAGGCCCAGAGCCCTGCCGAGGCCCAGAGCCGGGGTGCCAGGGCAGGGCTTTGGTTGTGTAGTGGGACCCAGCTCCATGAGCCGTTCTCTCTGCTTGTCAGGGTGTCCGCTCGCAGAAGGCGAGGTGGGAATAGGTGTGAGCAGCCCCAGCTGGGATTTAATCACTAGATTGAACTGTTAGCACTTGGTCTTTGTTTTGAAATAGTAAGTGACAGTACATTTTATATTAAAACGAGGTAGAACACTGCTGCCTATCTTCATACACATGTTTGTGATGTACAGTTTTGAGATCAAGTTAATCCTGTTACATATTTTGTTTATTACCCTTTTATGTAGAATTCTAAAGATACTTCACTCTCAGTCTCTGCTTTCAGGTCTAAGTGCTGTCAGGCATACCTCGCCTCACTGTTGACTGATCTTTATAAGTGAAATCTAAATTATCCCATCATTTCCATTGCTTTAATTTTTACATAAACTCCTTGATCCTGGACTAGTATTTTCTATATTTTACAAATGTCAGAGAAGTTCAAAGAGTTGACCACATTCTTTCTTTGTTTTTTTTCAAAGGTTTGTTTTTCTGAGAGATCTTCCTTTCTCTGGTTCTCTTCCACATGGCCATAGTGGCCAGAGCTGAGCCGACCTGAAGCCAGGAGCCAGGAGCTTCTGGGTCTCCCACATGACGCCGCAGTCCAAGGACTTTAGCTGTCTTCCTGTGCCTTCCCAGGCACATTGCCAGGGAGCTGGGTGGGAAGTAGAGCACCTGGGACTCGAACCAGCGTGCATACGGCATGCTGACGCTGCAAGCAGAGGGTTAGGCTGTTAGGCCTCTGTGCTGGCCCCTGACTAAATTCCTGTGTAGCCCAGGGTTACTCCTTAGCTGGCTCACACTTCAGCTCTTGAGCATTGCCTGTAGTGTGGGTGAAAGCTGTAAACGTGGACTCTGAGTAACGCATCTCTCTCCTTTGTCAGTTATTCGACAGCGACGGGAAGCCGATGCTGCATTGTTTTCGGAGCTCCACAGGAAACTTCACTCTCAGGTATAGTGCAGGCTCCTGAGAGAAATGGGGTTACTGGAACTCTGTTTTTCTTTTTGTGGTGTCACATTAAACTTTGCGATTAGAAGTGGCTTGTAGTTGCAGTTACTGCTCATTGCCTTAAGAATGCCGCTATCAGAAGCAAGGTTAGCTGAGTGACCCCTGGGACTGGTGAGGGTGGAGGGGACGGGGTGGGGGAGCATGTCCCTGCTGTGTCCCAGGCTATGTCCCTGACACTGGATGGGGCTGCTGGCCTGAGCGTATCTCTTCACTGGCACCCCTCCAGCCAGTGGCTTTATTGTTTAGTGTGTCCTAATTCGTCTGGTTGTAGCGAGAACCTACAGAACACACGGGATTGGGTCTTGATACTTGAGAACCAATGGCTCAGCTCATTCATGCTTTTCTCGGGTACGCGGCCAGCCCGTGTGTCGCTGGAGTCATGGTGATCTCTGGCTGCCAGGAGGGCGCTGGGCTCACTCAGGTTCCTGCTCCTTTGGCAGAGAAGCTGAGCCAGGCAAAGCCTGCATCAGAGTGTGTGCTGTGGCCGGGAAGGGGTTGGGGGCCTCTGGGGCCCCGCGGGCAGCAGGGACCTGGGCATCAGGAGGGAACCTGAGCTGCAGGTGTGCCTGGGGTTGCCTTGCAGGGCGGGGCCACGTGGCCGATAGGCCTTCCGTGGCCCTGCAGGCCTTCCGTGACCCCAAGCTGGGCAGTCCTCAGCATTGCTTAAAGGAGGCTGGTTGGTGTGCTGGCCATTTTGATGTCAATTTGAGTCCTCTCCACCTGGGTGCTCTGGCTGTGACGGCAGCTCCGCCGTGGCTTTTCTCAGACTGCTGGACAATAAGACTCGCCTTTCCTTGGACACATGGTCAGGGGTGTTTGATGCATTTGTAGGTAGGACTCGCCATGTTTGCTTCCAGCAGTGGCCAGCCTAGAGCTGCTCGGGTTAGTTTTCGCTTTGCGGCGGGTGTGACAGAAAGCAGTAGAAGTAATAGTAGGAATTAATCAAAACAAAGAAATATGTATAGACCATAGCAGTCCCATTGCTTGGCTGAAAATACTTGGTCCTTGGAAGGCAAAGGGTGTTGTTGCTCAGGTCTTCCTGTGCCTGCGGGCTGGCAGCCCTGGTGAGGAGCTGGCTGTTGCGAGGAGTGGTGACGTGGTGGTCCCAGCTGGATCCTCCGTCCAGGATGGGGCCAATGCTATGTGGAGCTGTGTGCTGCTGTGGGTTAAGCAGCTGACCCAGAGCCATCAGTTTTGGGGCCTCTCTCATCCCTTGGGATCCTCACCCTGTCTCTGTGTTGAAGTGACTTCAGTCTGCTGGAGGTCTTTGAGTTTGCAGATCTTCGTGCCTTGCATAGATGGCTGTGAACTGGTGCTGTTGAGGGCGCTAGACCTTCCCTGTGGCTCCCTGGTCTGTGTCCTGGTGGCTGGGCTGTGTCTGTCCCTGGTTGCCTGCTCTCTGGCCAACACGTGGCACAGCTGGAACTGGCGGCACTGAGGGAGAGGATGGCTGGGGTGACTGCTGAACCTGCTGAGTGGCTGCTGGCCGAGAAGTGGCTGCCCATCCTGCAGGCTGACCCTCCTCACGCTACTGCCTGCCCTCCCTTGGCTCTGATAGGCCACCCTTCTCACCTTTGCCCCAGGCCGAGGACCCAGTGGCTGGCTATCCAGTTGCTGCCCTGTTCTGACCACTCCTGTGGGTGCCTCTCCCACATGAGAGCGACGCTGCCTCCTTGTGGACACCATGCCACTCGCCAGCCTTTGTGTGCACACTTTTGTTCATTTTTGGAAGTTTGTCCTAATGCATGTTTGCTCAAAGAGCTGGGGTTGTAGTCAGGTCCCTGGTGGTGGAGGTGAGCTCTGTGTCCGTGGGGTCCCTGGTGGCGGAGGCGAGCTGTCTCCCTACGCCTTAGCATCCCTGAATTCCTGAGGAACTGCCACTGGGTCTCCGGGTCCCACAGCCCTGGTGCCAAACCCCTCTGCCCCTGCAACCCACATTTCTCTTATGTCCTCTGGGTGAATGACAGCAGAGACCAGGCACCTGCTGTTTACTGTCCTCTGCTGGCTGTCGCTTGTGTCCCCTGGGTTTGGTCTGGTGGCACATTCTGCCCTGGGTTTGGGGCTGTCATAGAGTCTCAGGGATTGCTTTTTTTGTCACAGCCTGGGGAGATGCTGCGCCCTGGCAGGAGGTGCAGTGTGGAGGACCTGGCCCTGTCGGCCCCCCTCTGTCGGCCTCGGCTCTTAGTGGCTGTCTTGTGGGGCAGCTTGCTGAGCCCGCTGCATGGAGTGGTCCAGGGCTGTGACTGGACATACATGGGTGCTTCAGTCCCGTCCTTCAGGTCCTTTCTGGGCCTCGGTCCTCCTCAGTGCCCTGCGGCTGGGGTGGGCCGTGTCCAGTGCCGCCTGTGCCTTGGCTGCAGCCT